TACAGGGTCAGGAACTACACAAACAGGTCTACAGGGGGAAACTGTACAAATTCGACTTCTTGCCAAGCTATTCCTTTAAAGACTACAGCATAGCAGCCAATACAGAATAGCTATTATCTTCCTTAGTGTGCTGCACATCGGCAAAGCACACATAAAGGTGAATTCAGAGACGTTGATATTCTCTAAAGGCACAAGTGCAGGATTGCTATTCTGACTTTGCCCCAAGTAATACCTTCAAAGTTGACCAGCAGAAACCAAACATGAATCTTTCATTGCCAGACGCTCAGCTACTAAAAGTGCAGAGGTTTGAGAAATGCTATCTAAAAACGCAACACAAACACACACAGGTCATATAGGTCAAGAAAGCTCCAGGATGAAAATACATTTGCTTACTTTTTGCTTTTAAAAAGTTACCAATGCAACTTTGAATCTGAAATACAGAGATGATGCAGAAAAACATAGATCTACAGACGTGTGGTGTACAAGAGTTTATCTGAGATACTTTCAAACTCTTGCCTTTGGTCTATGCAACTTGCTTCGGCTAGCTTGGACACACCCACTCATGAAAGGTTGTTTCTACAGGGAGATTCAATCGAAAGAGGCCCCGAATATTCCGTAATAACTTTTGCCAGGACGAAGCAATCTGAACGAAACAACATGCAATCTGCTCCTCAGTATATGGAGCTTCGAACAAACCGGGATGCTCCTGCGTGGGAGTGATGAGGTAAGTGCCGGAGAGCTGTCGTGACGTTAAACCTCCATTTGCAACTTCTGGGTGCATATCCCCGTACCCCTTCATGTGTCTGGCAGAAAACGGAGATCACTTCCATTGCATGTAATGCAATCGATTACACATATGTCAAGATATGTAGCGTAGTTCAGATTGCTTCATCCTAACAGGAGTTACAGCAGAACATTCGGGGCCTCTTTCGAGTGAATCTCCCTGTATTTGGCACATTCTGGAATGACACTAAAGCTATGAAATACCACATTTAGAATTATGAAGTCTTCAAAATAGCCCTTCTGTGTCTTGGTGCAGCTGCACACACTCTAGGTGTCTTCTCAAGCACCTTCATGAGGAGCCACTCGAGATGCATTTCCAAAAGGACTGAAGATCCTCTGGCATTTAAAAGTATATAGCAAGAATTTTTGGTTCTGGAAGTTTATACACCCACTCGATTTTCAATTTCCAGTCAAAATAGCCAGGCAGTAATTCATTTTGTAATGTCAGAAATGTATATTTAATAGAAAATTATACGAAAGCCACCAACCTTAAATATATCAAATCTATCAGTACTTAATTTGTCCACTTTCAGGGGAAAATCAAGCTCAAATTTTCTTTTTTTTCAGATCTGCAAAATCCACAGGTGTTTCTGTCCATCCGTCCACTGTGAGAAGACAACTCAACACTATGGGTCTGAAAGGATGTGTAGCTGTCAAGAAGAACCTCACTGAGAAAAGGAGACAGACAAAAAAGAAGATAATTTGCACTAGAATACAGAAAATAGAGTGATGGGTTTAAATTTGTAATTGGGATTATTTGGATCGTGAGAAGTAGAAAATGCAACCAACTTCTATGGTTGAACCTTGGTGGTGTGGAAAAATATCCCTGGAGATTTCTGACAAAAATGAACCCTTGTGTGGTGTTGATGTGTTTGTTACTCGGTGGTCTGGTGGACCCACCACATTATTGTTTATTGAATCAATACAGCCATAACAATTCAGGTAAAAATATCAGATGTTTAAAATATCACAAGTGGTCAGCGTAGGGTTCTCCTTCAGCAGCTGTAGCCAGTCAGCAGCCTGTCCATGTTGTCCACCCTCACACACACACACACAGACACACACATATACACACAGACACACACACTAGCAGCAGGCCATGTAGGAGGAGAACAGAGTGAAGGACACAGCACCTCCACACTTTTACTCCCCGTAGGTTCACCCAACACCACATGTGTAATTATAAATGTGTGGGGGGTGAACAGAGTGAAGACACTGAAAATGGGTTATTTTATATGTTCTTCACAGAAAATGAGCAAAGGACAAGAAATCTGGGGTTGAAATAATAAATCGCATAAATCGCAATGAGTAACTTGTACTTAATGGTGATTCTGACTGGAAATTAAACAAATGGTTGATTTTTGACTTTTGTACAGGATCTTTGTACAGGACTGTGAGCATCAACATCAATATAAAACATATGTGTCTTACTAACACAGTTCAAATATTGAAGTGTAAGTGCTTTGATCAAAATGACCAAGAATTGAGAGCAGGTGTGTCCAAATTTTGGAGTGGTACTGTACAACGTAGTATTGTATATACAGAGGAAGAAAATACCACATAAAATACTCAGAATGATTAGACATTTTATCACAAACACCTACCATATAGGTGCACTCTGTAGAGTTACATTTACTGCAGCCCAGCTGTTGAGTCACAACTGATCAGCCCTCTCTACCCTGTCCATCACAGACCACCACAGGACCACCGCTGACCAGATACTATATGTCTCTGATAATCTGATACACCTTTACCAGTGCCACACTTCCACATCGGTGTCTCTGCTGTTTTGAGAAAGATCAATCACCCAAATAATAACTGGTAGGTATTGGTCTTATGGTGGTCCTTTGATAGAGAGGGGCTGATAAACTGCAGCAACAGATGAGCTACAGTCAGTAATTTAAACCTACAAAGTGCGGCAGCTGTGACAGAAGAACAGCTAAACAACCTGGAATCAGCCAGAAATGAACCCAACACCATTCGCCAAACTAAATGGGCTGTAAGATGCTTTACAGACTGGCTGGAACAAAACAACATTAATATTAATCTGGCAAAAAAGAGAAAACTGAGCTGAACTTGATATTGCGGCAGTTTTATGGCTCAGTCCGCACTTCAAAAGGCGAGGCTTACAGCAGGCTGTACAGAGTGAGCGGAGTTCGTTACTCTGACGTAGCAACAAGCTGCTCGTTAAGGAACTATAATTTGGTGAAGGAACTGCGAACATTAAAACATATTAAACGCCGCGTTCACGACTCAGTTTATTAATTTCTTACTTTATTTATTTAACTGTTGTATAAAAGCAATAGAACATTCGATGTTGTGTGTTATCACGAATAACACACTCCCTCTCGCGTTCTATTGCTTGAACAACATTTGGTAACGCTTTAGTGTAGTATACTGTTCATAAGCCTACATAACATGTATAAGCTTGTCATGACAACTTACATTACCTTACATAAGTGTTTCTAAAGGCTTACTCCAATAGGTGTAATAAAAGCTACTTTAGCTAACTTTGATCAAAATTGGCAAAAGTATGTTTTGAGACAATACCGCCACTAAATGTTGGTGAAATCCGGGCTTGTGATCAATTTTAGAGGCTTTAGCACTAAAACTCTACAACAACACCTCCCTTCACTAGTGGGTTATCAATATGTACAGTCATATGCAAAAGTTTGAAGATCCCTGGTCAAATAATATGGGCTGTTGAATTCCTAAGTTAAAATAAGATAAATGAGATAAATTTGTTAACACAACGTAATTGTGTCATTTTTTCTCAACAATTTCTACTTATTTGCTAAGTTGAACATATTAATTACACAGGCCCTATTTATGTACTTTCCACCCCAATGTGTTCAATTCAGCAAATAAACAGTAAAATTGGGCATTTATAATGTGCAGAAGTGTTTTCTCGGTAGAGGATATGATAATTAAATATGTAATCAACAAAACGTCAATTGACCGGGGCGCCCAAACTTTTGCATACGATTGTGTGTAAACAGAACAGGCCTCATTTCATTTTCAGCTGTGTTGCTTTATTCCTTAAAGTCTCTGCACTATTTTAAAACCTGCTCATGCTGCACGCTTTACTGTGTCTCTACAGTAAGGACGTCCCAAGCATAAATGGGAGGAGAAGGACAAGCGCTTGAGTGTTCGCTGGGGTTGGAACAAAGCCCAGGCTACGCTAATTAGGCTCAGAGATAAATATTTCACTACGGCATAATGATCAAAACCGCTCAGAAGAACCCCGTCCAAAGCTGGAAGCACCGGCTCTGTGACTGGACTGCAAAAGACCGAGCACGAATCACAGGCGGCACTGTGTCTCTGAAGAGTGCCAAAATTAATAGCATATGGCTTATGGACTTTGACGTGGCACAGTAACACCATCGACTGGCTTATTCATGAGATAATGAGAGAATTACCGCAGAGTCCTTGAAGTAAAACAGGGGGAAAACAGCAAAAGACTGCCTTATATGACAGTCTGAGAAGAAATGATCATACTAAACGCTGTAAAGGATTACAGTTGGTTTTAGCCACTTAGCTACTGCTCGCCAAGTCCAGGGACGTGCTTGGGGTTCCGTTTCCTGTGGGGATCAAGCAAGGCCTACACAATATCAACAAAAAACTAGTACTGAAATTATATTGCTACACCAATCAGGCATAACATTATGACTCCTTGTTTCTACGCTCATTGTCCATTTTATCAGCTCCACTTACTATATAGGTGCACTTTGTAGTTCTATAGTTACAGACTGTAGTCCATCTGTTTCTCTGATACTTTGTTAGCCCCCTTTTACCCTGTTCTTCAGTGGTCAGGACCCCCATGAACCCTCACAGAGCAGGTACTATTTGGGTGGTGGATCATTCTCAGCACTGCAACCTCTTCAACCTCGTAAGACTCTCAGTTGCAAAAGTGCCGTTTGATTCTGTCTCTCTCCATATTTTCTGGTAGCTAAAGTACGCTAGCTATGAAAAACACAGCAGCCCAGCCCACCCGGTTTCCCCTCACAGCCCCACCTCCAAACCTGTACATCACTGCAGTGCTCCTCTCAGAGTGCCCCTCCCATTTTTGAGCATTTTCCAAAGTTTAGCCAGGGGTGGAGCTGAAAGTACTGTGGTGTGGTTACTCTTTAACAAAGGGCTACATCATATTAGCAATAAGTAAGCAACACACTGCACAGCCCTAGATAAAGCCGTTCTGACTCACAGCATGATTCTACCTTTAGAGAATCTGTGAACCTGATAGAAGGAGTAGATGTGAGAGGCGAAGGACAAAAACCAGTAGACGGCCATCTCCCAGCGTGGCAACTCCGCCAGTTCCATTTTTGCAGACATGGCTCCACCTTCCTCAGAGGGCAACCTATAATTTAAGATCCCATTATTAACTGTAATTAACAGATTTACCAAAAATAATAATCCTGCCAGGGTGTCTTTCTGGGGGAGAAAGACTGCCAGCTTTACCAGACATTATTCAGCACAACGCTTTGACTGGACTTGGGTTATTTTGTCTAGGACTGAGTTTCCCAACTTATTCAATAGAGAATCACTTACACTGCAGAGTTTTGCTATTGGCCAGAGCCATATCACTAACAGACCTTCACTTAAGACCTTTTTGAAATAGTTCAGGCGTGTTAGAGCTGGAAAAATGTGAAATCATGCAGTGCAGATGACACACATGACTGCAGCTGAGAAACTGGTCTAAGCTTGAGTTAAACCCAGAAATAGGTAGAACAGCCTAAAAGCTTTTGAGAAGAACTGAAAAAATCTAATTAAATACAGTCAAAAACTCAGCACTGAGTTCCGTATAGAAGTGTAGTGGAGCTTTTAAGTACATTCAGTTTCTAACAGCGTTTTTAGGCTCTATTCGACCCCGTTTATACCTGGTCACTTCATGCGTCTTGAGTATCAGGATTTTATCTGGACGAGGCCACACAAAAATGCAAGTGTAAAAATCTGCTTGACACTGAGCACATGATCCTTGCAAGAAAGATAATCATGGAGGATGCACAAGAGTCAGTTCACGAGGAGCCTGGCCACTTCCTGTTTCCCCCGTTATATCAAAAACAGGACTGCAAAATGGCAGAGGGCGCCCCGAGCGAGTCCTCAATGAATGGGAGTGAATGGAGCTCAATGACTAAAAACGCAAAGTTAAAATAGTTTCTAATCACTTTTTCCAGAACTGTCCTTTAATTGTAGAAAGTAGAAGGATGTATTTCGCTAAAAAAGCAAAGCAAACTCACCTGTATGTTTCCTTTTTCTACAGCAAACGGGTTTTGGGCAGCAGAATGCTAACATTACTGCTACTGAGTGCTGATCGTTTGGCGACCGGAGCAGCTCATTGGCTGTTTGCGCTCCCAGACGTCATGAACATACATGAGGCGCCGTTTTAAACTCCTATAACTCGAATTTAAAAGCTCTTAAAAATATAACAGCAGTGTTAAAATGTTTAAGCTGTTCTGTGTTCAGGAAATGATTGTATTCTTTTACATTAAAAATGTTTCAGCATTTATAAACTACGTTGTTACTCAAATCAACCCATTCATTTTGGACTCGCTCGGGAGCGCCCTCTAGTGTTTGAGAAACCCCGTGCAAAACAAACTGCAGATAGAGGCTGAACAGATAAACAACTGGAAACTGATTGCTTCGTAATGAGCGGATTTGCAATCAGATTCCAGTCCGACTAACCAGAGATGCATTTGACTAACAAGCGCAAATGTATGTGGCTAAAATCTTATCAGGACACAATCCAGATACTACTCACATGAAGTGACCAGGAGCAAACGGGGTCTTCTTCTTCTTTTGGGACCCTTCTGGTCTAAAACTAAAATGCTGAAACTCTAAGGGGAGAGGGTGGTGCAATAACAAAGTGGTCCAGGTGCTGAAACAACAGACCTGAATGGAAATAAACTAAAGGCCTTAAAATGGAGAGTGAGTGAAAATTAGCTGCCTTTCCTCGCAAATATACTCGACTACGAGTGCAACATCATTTGAAAATACTCATACATATATATATATATATATACATACATACATACATACATACATACATACACACACACACACACACACACACATATATATATATATATATATATATACACACACACACACACACACACATATATAAATTTAATTTAAGCACATGTGACCGGACCAGGGATGGTTTTCAGAACATGGATTAAGCCTAGTCTTCGGCTGCGTCCAAAACCACACACTACTATGCTAAAAAGTACATCAAATCTAGTACATCACCATTAGAATAGAATATAGTACAATACTAGAGTTGTGGAACCAACTTCAGACTAGACTGCAATGCCAGGGTCATTTTGTGCAGGCTTAAGCTTAAAGGGCAATTCCACCAAATTTTTTACATTTCCAAATAATTCAGTCTTTGACATGGAAACTGTCATTCAAAGTGGTCTGATGAGAAATGGTTCATTGTATAGAAACATATCAACTCAAATTTCTTTACAGTGGTGGTGATGGGAACCAGGGGTCACCCTGTCTACACCACAAATATAGCCATTTTACTTACTATCCAAAACCACCAATAAACCTACACGTGTCTTCTGGGTTTTTATATGTAATGTTGATGATGTTAAAAAAATCTGAATCTGAAATAATCTTTTTCTTTGGGGGCTATTTTGCCTTAGAGCACCCTTTATGTATCCCTCCACCATGATTACAATTAATTGATTAAAATACATTTTAGGCCACATTTTTAACACAAACCTACCGTGAAACAGTGTCTCAGACCTCAGGCTGAGTATTCAAGACCATTTCATGTCATAACTTTCTGTGAAGGAGCTTTTAGACGTGGACGTCTGGTTCCCATCACCAACACTATGAACAGTTCTGACTCGGTAAGCTTCTCTAGAACAGAGCATTTCACACCAAACCACTCTGAATGACTCTGTTTACATCTTAACCATTTAATTATGTAGGATTTTTGGAAAATCATGGCTCTGAATATAGTTATAGAGCCCCCCTGTGTCTAACATGGCTAAGAGCGCGATGCACGTTAAATGCAAGCAATTCGAGTCTCACAACTTACCGAGGTGCTCAGATGAGCTGTTTCAGTTAAATACGAGCTGTGACCGGAGCAGTAGAGGAATTTGGCTTCACGACGAACCGTGACCAACTTTATTAACCTCCCATTTTAACGTTTTCACAGCAGAAAAGGTCAGTTTTGAAGGGAATCTGTTTCTGACCGTAAGGCTCTTTCAGTGAACGCTGAACGTAACGGCGGTGTTGGTGAAGACCGACCGCACCGTTCACCGTTTATGAGCTGCATAGCTTAGCTGAGTCGGCGAGTTCACTGAATTCCTGAGAAAAATGAAGGACTAATTCGCGCAAACTGCGGTTTTCAGACTCGTAACATCGCCAAATAGACTACTACGACATGAAAATACTTAAGTTTAATGTCCATTTAGTCACGTTTCAGCACAAACAACAACACTCCGCCTCAGCTTCTCTGCCATGTCTGCACTGTGAATGGTTCGGTGGCTCCGCCCACCGGCTCTGGGATTGGCGCTCTGCTGCCACGTGATTGGCTAAAACGTTTGTATTTATTTATTTATTTATTTTTTAAACATTAACTCTTCAGAGCTTCGACCTCTTGTTTATTTGTTTGTTCATTCGTTCGTTCATTCATATGCTTGTGATCTTTTTTCATTGTTTTGTATTGACTGATTTATAGTTTTTATTTTTTTGAAAGGGAACTCCACCAATTTTTTAAAAATTCTACATAATTAAATGATTTTCAGTATTTACATAGTCTCTGGGATTGGTGTTCTGCCGCCACGTGATTGGCCAAAAATGTTTTTATTTATTTTTTAAACATGAACTCTTCAGAGCTTTGACCTCTTATTTATTTATTTATTTATTTATATGCTTGGGATCTTTTTTCATAGTTTTGTATTGACTGATTCATAGTTTTTATTTTTTTGAAAGGGGAACTGCACCATTTTTTTTTAAAATTCTACATAAATAAATGATTGACATGTATACAAAGTCTCTGGGATTGATGTTCTGCTGCCACGTGATTGGCTAAAATGGTTTTATTTATTTATTTATTTATTTATTTATTTATTTTTTAAACGTTAACTCTTCAGAGCTTTGACGTCTTGTTTATTTATTCATTCATTCATTCATTCATATGCTTGGGATCTTTTTTCATAGTTTTGTATTGACTGATTTATAGTTTTTATTTTTTTGAAAGGGAATTCCACCAATTTTTTTAAAATTCTACATAATTAAATGACTGATATGTAAACAAAATCATTCAGAGTGGTTTGGTGTGAAATGCTCTGTTCCAGGGAAACTAGCCAAGCCAGTATTGTTCGCAGTGGTGGTGATAGGAACCAGACATCTGAAGCTCCTTCACAGAAAGTTATTCGACAAAATGATTATGAACACGCTGCCTGATGTCTGACACATTGTTGTACAGTAGTGATGTGATAAAGTTTCGGCTTAAAATGCATTTTAATCTGTTTACTTTAAGCTGCTCATGGCAGATGAGTACATGCAGGATGTTGTGAGGCAAAATAGTCCCCAAAATAGAAAACAAAATCAGAATTATGACTATTTTGCCATCATCAACATTACATATAAAAACTCAGAGGACTCGTGTTGGTTCACTGGTGGTTTTGGATTGTAAATAAAATGGCTATATTTGTATTGTAGATGTTGTGACCCCTGGTTCCCATCACCACCACTGTAAAGAGTCCATTAACTATTACACTTTAGTTATATGTGGCCCACTACAGCAGGTTTCCCCAACACTAGTAACAGACACACAGCTTTTTCCTTTTACAGAACTATGTAAGTTTGCTTCACTTTTGTTCTTAATCTTTCAAATTGTCTTTTTATTTGTGTGCCTGTGATGCTAAAAATGATCCTTTATTGCATTTCATACTCCTACTAAAATGCCTTTGGGCATAATAATATGTGGACAGGTTTTGTCTAAGTATTTAAAGGAGAATTCCAGTGTTTTATCAAAATTTTCTTCATAATTCTTACATAATTACACCGTTCACATGTAAACAAAGTCAGTCAGAGTGGTTTGGTGTCAAGCGCTCTGTTCCAGAGAAACTTACCAACTTTAGAACAGTCCACAGTGGTGGTGATAGGAACCAGACGTCTGGAGAGTTTAAAGGATGAGTTCATTGCTTTAAAAAGCTCTGGCACAGGAAGTTATTACCTGCAATAAGAGACCATTTTAAGATCCTAAAATGCATATTGTTTTGATCTATTCATGGTGAAGCGATACTTGCAGGGTATTGTGAGCCAAACTGAAGCCAAAGAAAACGTATTAAAGGCAACTCCACCATTTTTCTAAAAAATTTTACATAACTAAAAGATTGAGACGTAAACAAAGTCATTCAGAGTGGTTTGGTTTGAAATGCTTCATTCTAGAGAAACTGGCCAGGTCACAATTGTTCACAGTGGTGGTGATAGGAACCAGACATCCACTTCAAAAAGCTCCCTTACAGAAAGTTATTACATGAAATGGTTAGATATACGCTTTCTGATGTCTGACACATTGTTTTACTATAGTGTTGTGATAAAGTTTTGGCTTAAAATGTATTTTAATCCATTTATTTTAATTCATTCATGGCGGAGGGGTACATGCAGGATGTTATAAGGCAAAATAGTCCCCAAAGAAAAGTTATTTTTTCAGAATCATGACTATTTTAACACCATCAACATTCCATATGAAAACTCAGAAGACACGTGTAGGTTCACTGCTGGTTTTGGAAGGTAAATAAAATGGCTATAATTGTGTTGCAGACATTGTGACCCCTGGTTCCTATCACCACCACTGTAAAGAGATCTGAGTCTGTAATTTTCTCTACAATGAACCACTTCACATCAAACCACTCTGAATCACTCTGTTTACATCTCAACCACTTAGTTATTCAGAAATTTTGAAAAAAAAGGTGGAGTTTCCCTTTTGATTAAAATTCAATTGCGATTCACCCAAATGACCACTAGGTGGAAGCACACATTTAAAGACCGAGGCTCTAAGGGTTGCTGAGAGCAGAACTCTGCTCAGAATATTACACACTATAACAGACGGTTAAAGTATTTATTACATGTTAGAATATTAAAGAATCATAAATCTTCATGTCTCGAGACACTTATGAAGACATCTTACGACATCTTGAGGCATGAAAACATGTCTTTAAGGCACGTCTATAGACACATTCTCAAGATGTCCTGACCATAATAATAACCCAAGACGTCTCGAGATGTAAAACATATTATTTATGTTTTATATCAAGTTCAGTCCTTTTAAATACCTTTATATAGTAATTAACCCTGAATGAAAACAATGAATATTTTTTACAACTACTACTTCACAGTCATTTCATTTTAAATGAAGTTGTTATTATTAGTTGTCATTATATCAACTTTTCTTTATCAATTACAATAATAAGTAATAAAATACACCAATATTATGGTCATTAAGCCTCAAGAAAAATGGGAAAATTGCTATTTTACTGTCAGTGTTGGTGACAGTTACTGTCACTTTCTACAGACTAGCTAAATAAGTTCATACAGCAAACATTACAGGTTGCACTTTTATCTCAGTTTGAACATTGAAATCTAAATAAAACCGAATCAATAAGTAAAGGAACACCATGTACAAAGCACACGCTGCCTGTGATTGACAGGGATTCATAAATGACGTTAATCTGCTCTGTAAAACTCACTGTTATGAAACGGCAAAGTGGCATCAGTGTCATTAGCAACGACCTGTCGCTTGCCCAATCTAAACCTCCGGACTCCGACCCCGTGACCTCCGGTGCCACAGACTTTGCCAAGTCAGTTTCAGGGAAAGTTCCTAGAAGCAGGCAGATTTGTTGTTGTTGTTTTTTTGTTTTTTTTTTAATTAAATCTTGCATTAATAAAGTACAGCCAGAGGGGAGAGAGGAAAAATAAACAAACAAATAAATAAATAAACTGGACAAAAGTAAGCAGAACACTGGAACAAACTGAGACAGTCATACAGCCATAAAATAAAGAAGATAAGAACAACAATATAATGTTATAAAACAGAGGCCAAACACAAAATGCCAAAATTAGAACACAGGCTCCAGATTTTCACAGCCGTCTTAGTACGAGATAGGCATTTCAACTCATTCTCCACATCAAAGTGAGTCAAAGTGACAAAATAGGGCTCCAAACTCTTAGAAAGATGGTTCTTCAAGGGTTCTTTAGTAAAGAAAATGGTTCTATTTAGAACAATGAAAACTCAAAGAACCCTTTGCTTGATTAAAGGGTTTTTTGCATCATGAAAGCGTCTTTCAGATTGATGGAGAATGTGTTGTAGACAGTTCTACACAGAACCTTGTTGTAAAGGGTTCTATATAGCACCAAAAAGGGTTCTTCTGTTGTTAAAAGCTTGGCATTTTTGCATCATTAAATCTTTCTTCAAACTGATGGAGAACGATGGAGAACCAAAAAAGGTCCTTCTATTGTTACGATGTCAATCTTGTAA